ACCGAAAGGGTTGTCAAGCATTGGACCAGGCTGCCCAGGGAAGTGGTGGAGTCCCCATCCCTGGAGGTATTTAAAAGACGTGTAGATGAGGCACTTAGGGACATGGTTTAGTGGTGAACTTGGCAGTGCTAGGTTAACGGTTGGACTTGATGATCTTAAAGGCCTTTTCCAACCTAAACGATTCTGTGGTTCTATGTTTCCTCTACTTGTCCATTAAGTAATAGCACCAGCAGGGAAGTACTGAACCTCAGCAAAGTGAGTTTGCATTTAACATAAAGACTGTAAAATTGCCTCAGCCTGCTAGAAAAATGAAGCCATAATATTGACTGAATAACATATATAAACATATAAAATTACTATTAACATATAAACCACTAATACGTAAGTTACTTACTGTTGTGTGGGACAATGGAAAATAAATTCATACTTCCAGGTGTGAAATTGCATAACCCCTGGGATTTACCTCACCTGACTTCACATGCTTAAAAGTTAGGTCAGATGAGTCCAGGTCTAAAGGACTGAACTGTTTCGTAATTGCAACTGGTACTATATGTTGCTTTTTTAAGAACAAGTTAGATAAACATCTGTCAGGAGTTATTTAATAATTAGCACTGTTTTGGGTTAGAGAAAAGGACTCTTCAGCTACATATTGGATGGGGAAAATGGTCCAGTGCTTGTGGTTTTCTGTTAAGATAGGAAAACCCGAAAGTAAAAATGGCTAAAAATACGTTCATTGTCCAAGCTGAGAAAACATAGATAAAAATGAGAATCAGGGGAATACACTTCTGCAGTGATCTCTCACTTTTTAGCTATTATGAAGAATATCAAAGTAAGATTTCATTGTGCAAAGTCAGTATCATAGATTGGCCAGCAGAATTTCAGCTGACTTTGATTTTGTTGCATTTAATTTTTATATTGTTTTATTATTGTTCTCACAACATTGTTTTCAAAATCAAAAAAGAAAAACCCTGTCTGGCATATAGAACTTCTGCTGTTAGCATTTTCTCAAGAAGTGGGTCAATACAAGAAACCATGAAGAGTAAAGCAGACTGCTGCATGCTTTGTAGCAAAGTTATGGAAAATATAAGGTAAGTTTAACTTTACTTTGAAGCAGATTGTACTTTTAAGTAAAGATATACCGACTTCTAAAAATAGACTAGGATGCACATAAATGTGCTGGATAAAGATGCAGAGTAATTAAAATGGAAATTTAGACTTTCGGCTATATTGTTTATGCCCCACAGGGGAAATGTTTTGGAGGAGCTGGTACACCATTTAATCTTCAGAGCGCCACTGGTATGGCATACTGAGTGTAGTCATTCTGCTTTGGCTTCTGATTTAAGCTCCTAGTCTTCCTAGCTTTCCTCTGTTTTAATTACAGAAGACAGACTCCCCTGCTGGGTGACTCTGGACAGGAACCTAGCACCAGTAGTCTCATTATTCTTCCAGAGGAGCCTGTCCTTTCTGCTGGTGAAATAAGGAGCCTAAAAGAGGGGGTTAGTGCCTTCATGAAATTTAGGTGATCTGAACAACTCCCCTTTTTCTAAACTGATCAGTTTTGGCCCTATAAAATAGCACTTCTGGAGGACGGTGAATGCTTCTCAATCTATGCTTTTCTCCTTTTCACAACCTACTGTCTGCTCAACTCATTTAGTACAAACTCTTTCTGTCTTTCCACATGCCTTTGTCACTGTTTGTGCAAAAATCTTCTGTACAGCTTGTGCTTAATAGAACAGCCGTCTTATATCTCTCTACTTCAGTGATTCTCCATCTGTTCTCCATCCAAACCAAAGCTGAAAATTTATCCTCTGCTTTGCATAAATCTCTTCAGCACTTCTTCCAGTGCTTTTATTACTTTCAATTTTAACTTTACAGCTCTGTGATAGACACTGTATAAGATAGTTCTGCACTGCACTGCACTCCTAAATCATTACCTGAAAACAAGTATTTCTTCATTCAATTGTCAGCCATTTTTAAGTGTAGGCATATCATTTAAACACTTATTTTCAAATATATGTACATAATAGTGTATTCATAAATGGGGGGACAGTGCTATTGTTTAACACTATACAATTTTAATGATATACAGTATATTTGTCCTAAGCCTTCCTACAAAATTGTAAGTGTCCAACAAGATGAACTGGGGTTCTCATTTGTTACCAGACTAATTGTGCTGGGTGATGATAGCACCTTCAGGCAGATTAGTTCCTACTTAGGTTCAATAACCCTTGAATCATACAGCAGGGGAAAACAATGTCACCAAAGTATAACAAATCCAAAAGTTCATTAAGCATCACAGAACTAAGGTTTTGAATTTTACAGCCAGTTATTCCCTGAAACTAATTGTTTTGTCATCTAAAAGTTTATTTGCTTCTTTTTATCTACACCAAACCAAACCAAACCAAACTTTGATAGCCATTCAAAGAAGCTCCTCTCACTCCTGATCTTCGCAGCATTCAGATTGTTTTATAGAAGGTAATACATGAAAAATTTAAAATGGTAGTGTGACAGACTGACAATGAAATGTCTAGTGATATAATTATAAGTTCTGAGGCATCTTTGATGCTAGTTAAAATTTTCACCTTCTCAGAGTTCCCCTTTTGGCTGTTGCAACAGCACTAAGGCGTGAAGATGACAAAAGGTGGAATGTGAGTATTTCTCCAGCAACAAGGAAGTCCTTATGCATAATGTATATAATGAACTCAAAGAAACTATACCGTGCAAACAGAAGTGTCTTGGTGTGTTATCAACCCATTTTTTCTCAAGTTCATATGTTTAGAGTGCAGGACTGTTCCATGTAACATATTTTTTGTGTTTCATTAACCTCATTTCAAGTGGACCAAACTATGGGACTGCTGCCCGTAGAAGATAATATTTCTGAGAAAAATTTCCTTTTAGTTCTTCCTTTAGTTGAGCCTAAGTAGTCCTCTAAAATATATCCTCCCATCATTCTAGTTAGTTATAATTAAGTTTTATTTCACTTGGCCGTAGCATAACTATTGTAAATACCGGATACTGTTGTGAGACACAAGGATGTTGTTCAAGTGTATTTGCAGGATTAGAAACATCTGCTGCTTTGAAATGTGCTATGTCATTTAGAAATTTCCCTCACCATACTAAGTCTGTGAACCTCTGTGTTACTTACTTGATTTCAATGATTTGTGCTGATTTCAGTGAAGGAAAACACGATTTAAACCAGATTTTTAAAGCAGTAATAATACAAATACCTTTTTCAACACAATTTTAATGCAAAGTAGCAGGCAATCCAATTAACCAAATAACTGTAAAGCAATAGATACGTTTAATAGTTAAAAGGTCAGATTTATTTTGTTGTTTTGCTTTTTTTTTTTTTTTTACAAACAGGAATGCTCCTTGAGGCTGCTTAAAAGGATCTTTGTGAATGAGGTAGTACACATATACCCAGCTACACTGCATACCTGTGGTTGTAGGCGACTTAGAATGATGATTCCTTTGTCTCTGGGAGGATACTTGCATGAGAAGGATGCTGTTTAATTCAATGAATTGAAACTGTTTCCTTATTTCAGGAATTTAAACTGTTCCTCATGAGATTTCTGGCTGCATTACTGCAATGGTACTAATGCCAAACCTCCAAACCCATTAAGTGCCTTCAGACCATAGATCTACCTTCTCAATCCAGCCTCAGTATGGGGTGAAGGATTGTAACTGGATTTTACTGTATCTGTGCCCTATAAACAGGCTTGCCATGGTTCCCAGACAGGGAAAAATGACTCTCCAGGAGTATTAACAAGACCCAAAATGCACAGTATGACAAGTAAGTCTCTAGTAGCTTAAATAAGTCTCATCCCTTTTATGTTTCCCTGAATGTACAGGGTGAAGCAGGCATGCCTTTCTATAGTTTCTGCTGGGGCCTGTCCAGCAGTACAAAATGCTAGGCCTCACACACGTAGCTACTCATTACACTTTACCCATCTCTCTGATTTAGAGGAATAAAAGTTAGGGAGTTCATTCAGTTCTTCCCTTATGCCTATTTCTGTCACCATAATCATCATAGTTTAATTTTCATGAATCTGCCTGCTTCTCAGATGTATCTCTATTGCCTCTTGTCTCTGAGGGTGAGGTTCATCTGACTAAATGTAAATGTTTGTATTTAAACTAGTCACCCTAGCTTGCTTTTGCAGTCAGTGGAAAGGAATAGGCACTTATTTAGTTATTTGATAGGGGTGGTTCACCACGATCAGTTTTAGAAATCTGTGTTAGGGCATGACTAATTTGCTGTAGAAGTGCCTTTCTTTTTTTGACTGATCATACAGGAGTCTAGATGACAAGTTCAGTGTAGACACCTGCATTTAGACAAATGAAATTTACGTTCAGTGTCTTTGATAGTTAATTTACTTTGCAAGGTTTTTTCTTTCTCTTCTGTGTGCATGTATAAATCTACATGCTGTGTAAGACACTGACAGGAGACAGTGATGCAGCCTTTTTAGTAATTGAACATTTTCATATAAAAAATAAGAATTTCTGAAAACGTTGCAACTTTCCATGGGATCCAACTGGAACAGCAAAGAGAGCCTGAAGCAGTTTTCTTTTTTTTTCCCTTCCCAGTTTTCCTTAATGAATATAAATGCTCTTTAGTTGTATTATTTTCTTCATCTTTTGTGTGGACTGTGCATGTGTATTAGCTAGATCTGTTGTTACTGCATGGTTTTTAGTGTAATAGTGTTTCTCCAAGAACACCCTGACCACAATTACAGTAGAGACTGGTCTCTCTGTTCCAGTCCACTGGCAGCCATTAATAACAACCATGGTAAACTTCACTCTAGGTCTGATACTTCAGAAGAAATCACGAGGGTCCAGCCAACCCTAGGATTTAGCTATAGTGTAAAACCATGCCACAGATTTTACGGTTAAAATACACTGAAAGTAGTGAAGACAGCTTTCTAGTTGCGCAGTTTCTGACACTGCAGAATGTCTCTGTATTGTATTAGAAAAGAAGGTCATTAGTGTTCTTTGTTCAGAAATTATGTCACTCTGCTTGGTGGTCGCGTTGAAATGCTTTTTTTGTAGGAGTGACCTCCACAGGCTTCTGAACTGTCAGTTCCATCCCTTATGATTATCTCTTGTGTTGCTTTGAATATTAATGGCACAAAGCCATCCTTGTCTGCAGTGAGCACAATCCAAGAAGAGCCTACAAAAATTAAGCAAGAAAAAGAAAATGAGTGTACTGCTCTGGTTACGTAAAATGTACAAGCACATTTTAAAAAGTCAGCCAGCATGCGAGCAGAGCAGGCTTTCTTTTTGTGCACTAAAGCCTTATTACGCTAATGACATTAAGGTCTTGACAATCCATGCTAAACACACCATTGTGTAAATGCGAAGGGGGGCTAAATGAAAAGTCTTGAAAGGTTTGAGGTATTTTGTCCCTTATTTAAATTAAGTTGAAAAACAAGGTGCATCTTTACCAGTTCTGATAAACCATAAGTATCTCCATTTTCTGAAAACTCAGCCAGCCTTTCCATGCTGACTTTTGTTCTAGTGACATCTACTTCTGCTTATCCTTTTTGCTCATCTGCTCTATCCAAATGATAAAGAGATCATAAAACCTGAAAAAATTGGCAAAGAAAATGATTGTGCTGCATTTGTTCTAGAAGGAAGTGGGGGTTTCCATCTCCTTTACTGTCAAGCCAAGATTGTTCAATATGTTTTCAAATTCATATAGCAAATGGAAGGAAGTTACACCTTGAAGATGATTTACAAAAGATATGATTTACAAAAGATGATTTACAAAAGATAATAATAAAAATTCTTGGCCTTTAATTATTTATCAAATTTTCTCGTAAAGAAGAGAATGAACAAAACCTGAATGATATTTTTAATCCTTTTTTTTCTGAAAAAAAAAAGAGGCAAGATTAAAAAACAAAGACATCAAAATCATTCAGGTTCACTTTCTGTATTGCATAGAAGCAGAAAATAAACCTACCCCGCCCCTTTTTTTACTTTCCTTTGCAAATCAGCTTGACAGTGAAGCTATATGTACCATTTATATTTTTTCTAGTGATTAATCTGTTTCCTTTTGGACTGGATATGGCAGTTCTTACAGAAAATAGTGAATTCTCTATTTGTCTTTTTTTTAGTTTGACATTTTATAAAAAAGAAAAAAAAATCTGTGGCAACTGAAAAGCCATCACGTATCACACGTTTTTCTTAGAGCATATGGTCCTGTCATTACTGAGCAGGGGCATTAGCTGGGATCTGAGGTAAAGAAAGCCCTGTTATGTTCTGTTGTTGCAATTTTTAATTTTGGAAGGTAAAACTGTGTTTTGAAAAGGAATGTGAAAAAAGGAAGTGTAGAAAATCCAGAAGAACCATGCTTAATTTTTGTCAGTCACAAAGCATGTTCCTGGACAAGGCAAATCTCCCCTCCTTATACTATTAACAAAGCACTTTTCCAGGCTGCTACACTATTGTATGTTGTCATGTCACCTGTTACATCATAAGAAGATTGTCATTCCAAACCACGAATCTTTAATCTTCTACTCTTAATACTTTCCTTCTAATTCTGGACAGACTTCAGATTCTGTAAGCAATGGGCCTGAAAGTGGAAATTCTGCTGTCCGAATGGTTACATTGTTGGTCAAATTGATAAAGCATACTCTTTTGTCCCACTTTTGGGACTTTTTATTTCATCCATTGAAATGTTTGAAATTTTCTGTGTCGTTGATAACACTTGCTTTGAAACATATCCCACAAAATATTTCAGTGGTGGAAATACCTTGTGCAGTATGTAGTACCCTTTTGCTATGCACAATTATTACGATGACGACCCGCCGAAAAGAGAGACTTCTGTGTGCTAATACCAGAGCACTATATGACAGGCTATATTTAGTACAGGTAATGGTATTACAGTCCTGGGCTTTAAGTGCACATGACGAGGCCAAGTTCATTGCTCGTATAACTCTGATGATCTAATAGCCTTGCTGTGGGTATGAATTTGGCCTACAGTTATGAACTTCTTTTTCCCAATATATTCCAGTTTAAGTGTTTATTCATAGTAAAAACTGCCAGGCTGTCATTGCAATCCAAGCACGCTCTTCATTACATCCCCTTTAATTACACAGTATTAAAGGATGGGAGTGATAGTTTTAAACATTACAGTTAATATTCATGCCTTGCGGCAAAGGAAAGATTTAGGAATATAAACCTGTATTGGTCAGGACTGAATAAAGAGCTACATAACTACTTCTGCCCCAAACCTGATAATTTTGCAGGATTTTGGTGAGTTTTAGAAAGATTCTTGTTTCAGTTGTTCTTTTTGCCATCAACAGACAGACTCAATTTCAGAAAAGCCGAGCACCTCATTGAACAGAAAGAGGGACATGTTAGGATGATTCTGAGACACTGTCTTTTTGATATCTCTGAAATCTAATGCAAGAAATTGAGGAGTGGTGTTCTAATTAAATATTAAATATTCAACTGTTCTGTAGAGCTGAAAAGAGGTTTTCTCAGGTCCATTATTATTTTCATACTGAATTCTAAATCTCTTTTTTCATTATGGGCATTTGTTTCCAGAATCGAGAAGTGGAAGTACAGGTTAAAAATGGCATCCTCCGTGCCATGCAAGGGCAGAAGCCTGCTGGGAAATAGCTCAGGCCTCTACGGCAAGTGGAGTATTTTCATATATGCTTCCACTGCACTGTGCAGTCAAGAGAGATTGTTGACAAAAATATGAAACCTGCATATCCTCATTTTCTGGTACAACTCTCAGAAACTGCTGTAAGCCGGGGGCAAACTGAAATGGCCCAATGTGTTTTGGATAAAGGCAGCTCTCCTGATCTGTGTTGTATTTGTAGCCCCTTTTCTTCATTCTTGTGGTCTTATCAACAACAAGGAGATAAGCAGAATATGAATGGCAGAATGGTGCATATTTTACATCTCTTTTTCCCACTGTCCTTGGTGCCAGCACCAGTAACATCCCAGGCCTAGTTTTTTTTTCATCAATAAGCCTATTATATAGCAGGCTGGTATGTAACATCATTATTTAGAAAACTGTAGCTTATATTATTACTTCCCTTTTCTTTTTGATTTCACCAACAGTTGAATTAATTTATCATAAGACAGAGTATACTGATTAAGCCAATGCGTCTCAGCCTGTCAGGGGCTAAGACAAGGGGCAAGACAGAGAGTAATTTATGGATCTCTCAGTGTGGAAACCATGCAAGGAGATCATAATTACAGACAACTATTGTGTAGCATAAGATCATAATATACTTAGACTGTGATGAGAAAAGCCATCAGAAGCATTATAGAGAAATGGCTAAAAAATAACAGTATGTATGTTGCTGAGAAGCTAGCATACGTGAACAGACAGGGACAAGGTAATGCAGAGACCAGCCTGGGGCTAGGATTTCCCTAGCTGCTTCTGTCCTTACAAGTTAATCAGTGGTGGGTGGTAGAAATGTGAGATTGGCAAATTAGAACATTGAGCTTCATTGTTTATCTTGCATTAAAATAATCCCAAATGCTACATGATACATATATATCTCTCTCTCTCATACTCTGAGAATGAATTTTTCTCCAGCCTACCCTCTATTGTGAGGTCTGGGACATGCTTGTGAAGATGGGCAAAGCAAAATGCCAAAAGGCCTCAAGGAAGCATTTCTATTTGCAGGTAACAGTGTACCGATTATTTTCTCAGCCTTCCTCTGTAGAGGTATCTAACATATTACTCTGGTAGTAGGTAGTTCTGCAGCTACTTAGCATTTAAGTGATTTCAAGAGACATTCTGTCATATTTCAGACAAAGGAAAACACATACTTCTCAAAAAAAGTTAGGTATCTCAGTTTACTACACTATAGGGTAATTATTCTACCACAAATGCCTCTTTTATGCTAAAAATCTCACGTGAAACTAGATACCAGAAATAAAAAGAACATACCGTGTTTCATTTCAATAACGGGCAGATCAAACAGCTGCTGGACTAAATTCAAATGGATCTTGCCATCACAGAGGAGAACATCTTTTGTATCTTCAGTAACTGCTCCATTTGAAAAACTTTTCTTCAAATGCATATATGTAAAAGAAAAGATGGTGTTAAAAGCTTAGACATTGTGCCTGAGTTCCTTTAACCATCCCTCTGCTCTTACTCCTTTCAGTTCTTTAGTCATTTTGCTTTTTCTTTGTCTGTCTTTGCTACAATTTATAGATGACACCATCATGCAGTGTAATTCTAAGTGCAATCTCATAGTCCCATGTGAAGAGGAATATGCCTCTTTGCTTTTTGCTTTGTGTGCTTATGCCGCTCAAAACTGCATCAGCCCTGCATATATAATGTATTAGGTCATGCATATATGTGTCCGTTGGGCCTTTCTGCCTGAAGAGTCAATTCAGTGGAAGGGAATATATCATGCCTGGAATAAAGTTGTCCAAGATGCTACCAGAGCAAATGAGTACTCTGTTCAGTTTCAGTTGTACGCGTGGATGATTTTGATAGTCATTGGTCAGCTATTCCACCCCAGGAAAATAACCTCAGTTCTGGCACAGAGAGAATTGCAGAGACGCTGGACATAGCGACAGTCTCTCTGAAAAGCTGTCGTAACAAGGTAGCTTGGGAATCCTGTGACTTTCTTTGAAAGAGAGGGAATGTATGGATTTACAGCCCTGGAATTTGCTCTGACATTCACTAAAAGAACACACTTGAATATATATTCGTGCTTCATGAAGTTTAGTTGGCCTTGAGAATTGACACCTTTGTGTTCCGTCATTCTAATTACTGCAAAGTGCAAGGGCCACAAAATAGTTGAGCTAATATGGTTATGGAGTGGATATATATTTGCATTTACATTTTCCTATCTGCTGTCATTTGAAAGTCATTTTAGCATTAAAAATTTTCCAGTGACTCAATGCCATTATAAAATATATGTGAATTGGACATTTTCTTTTAAATAATCTTGCTATGCTTTTCCTGTGAATTTCATTTTGTCCTTCCCTTTCCATACTTTCCACCTGTGTAGTTCCCATGTGTTACTTTCTTTTTTTTCCTTTGGCATCCCTTACGTTTGCAGTACCCCCAGATTTAACATATTTGTTATTTGAATGAACAGTCTATTTATCCCATTTCCTAGACCTTTTGGTTTTGTACATTCAGGAGGGATCCAAGTTAACATTTTAGAATGGGTCGAAAAGATGTCATCTATCCTAACTCCTGTTCTAGTCCTACCCTGTCTGTGTCTACTTCATACTGTTGAATCTTTCCTGCTAATATGAAACTTACAGTTGAATGAATTCACAACTGCATGTTCTATTTCTGTGCACAGTAATCTAACCTTTGACTAAATAAGTGTCTCTTTTAATGCTTGTTTTCATTTCTAATTGTGCTGTCTTTTGACTCAGTCGCTCTCTCAGTGAACACATGCTTTTTTTGCTTTGTAACAACCTTTCTAAATCCATCACTTTCATTTTTCTGTACATAGTATGTATGCTGTCATGCAACCACATTGGATTCTGTAAATCAGAATGTCTACCAACTGTTGCAAAAGTATTTTTTTCCCATTCTGTCATAAATTAGCCATGCAGATAGTCTATGGTTGATTGTTATTTATTTATGTATTATGATTGATTGAAGATTTAAGAACCATAAAAATATTTCCGTTAAAAACGTAAACTTTCCGACTTTCAAAGGTCTTATCATCTCTTTCCCCATTCAAAACAGCCAGAAATGTGTTGCTGTGTAATTAATAGGGAAATATTTAAGGAATGCATCAAAGAAGTATCATTTTCGCAGTCATAAACCTATAGTAACTTTTTATTACAGCTATAACTATATAACAGAACTTTGTCATTTTTAGGTCTCTTCAAATTATATAGTACTATATTCTATTGAACCTAAATACACTTAAAACTCAATGGGCTGAATGTTCAGCAATGAGCATGTGCTTTGCACTTACATTGCAAAGATGCTATTTGCCTGTACAGGTATTTGTGCAAAGCTTTTCATTGCTGCATATTGTGGATGAGCACATCTAACAACTACTTTGTTTTCCTGGATTCAGGTTGAATTAGCAGAGTTTATTCAAACTTGTACTTCAGTTAATGAATTATAGAAAAAGGTGGAATGTAAATGAGACAGGCACATTGCCTTGACCCGAGTGGTTCATTTTTTCACACAGATATGCTTCGGCTCAAGAATAATTATAAAACAATCTAGCTCTGCCTCTGTTGACTTGAAATCAGTTGAATGGAAATGTATACTAAGGATGACTTCGTTCTAGTATGTTTCCTACATAGCCTTGCAAGTTATTATTGGAACAGCCATTAGAAGTGGAAGACATTTCTGCATATACAAAACTACATGGCATCTATTTTTTATCCTAACCAGTTTTTCAAGTACAGACCTCAAAGCTTAAGTTTCCGAGTTGTTTGTCTTTCATCACTAGTGAACATTCATATTAGCTATTCTCTCTGTCTTTGTCGTATACTTCCGTTTATAATGATAAACTTAATCATCTTTACATTTATTTTTGTCTGCTGGCAAATTCTGTCAGGTCAACAATCTTCCTCTGTTTTAATCTTCTAATTATTTAGCCTTTTTTTGTTTAATGTTTAAGTGATGATAACACGCTTTCTCTTTGAGAAATATGTTCACACACCTCTTATCATATCATAGATTAAGTGATTTAAACCCATGCCTTCTTGAGAGGTAGGTAACTGTTAGTATTCCCTTTTTATAGATGGTCAAACCATTACATAGGAAGATTAAGAGATTTACTCAAGGTCATAGAAGTAATTTGTGACAGAGTTAGAAATACAACTAAAATCTCACCTTAGTACTTCCCATTTTCATGCCTTAACCCAAAGACAATTTTCTAGTCAAATCTAAATTTAATCCACCTCTTCCCAAAATATGTATCTGGTTTTGCTATGTTGCTATTTATCGCCAATAGAAGCCAGAAGACTTGCCATTCTCAGATTAAAATCCCCTAATGTTAGTTGTTTTATCCTAAACCAAAGTTTATTGGTAGACTAAGAACATATTAATCACAGAAGAAACAAATATATTTCCACAGATGTGAGTGGATATTTTCAGATTAAGTTTCTTTAGCCAACTTCCTGTAGTATGTCAAGTCCAACTCTCCCTCAACAAAAATCCAACAGAAAGAAACCATCAATTCAAGAGTTGTTTTCCTTCATCCGTGTCAGCCTGCCCCTTGATCAGATTTGAGAGCCTATAAAGGGTCTTCTGGGCAGCAGCCAGCCCATCACAGCGTTGCCAAACTGTCTTTCAAAACTTATGTTTTGGAATGCAAATATATACGAGAAGAAAATCATTTACTAAGGCAAAAAGGGTTCCTGGATTAGATGTTACACACTGTATGTCTGCACCATAAACAAACATGTCTTTTATCACTTACCTGAACCCCACTGAGCAGTCAGCTAGTTCTGCCTCTTGACCTTTTTCACTATTTATCTTGTATTTCCTAATGCACTGCCTATACTTGCCTGGATGCTAAGATCATCTTAATGAACTTAAATTCAACAACTGATGAAACAATGAGGTAAATAAGAATATGCTACCAGTCAGAATTGTTTTTACTAACACTGGGTTAGTGATCAATTGCAGTTTGAATGTGTCTTTCTTGCACATGGATATCTAGAAATGTAAAATGTTTTCCAGATGAGGCCTCACGGCTGTGTTGCCCAGTGTTACATTACGTACAGGATGCACCTCACTGATGTACCCACAGACTGCCTTTGTTCTTTTCATAAACGTTATCACATTTTTGATTCATAGTCATCTTGTAGTCACTTAACACGTGCAAGCTTTTGTCATCCTTGGTTGTTTCCAGCTAATGGATATCCAGTTTATAGCAGAAATTCCTTCTATTAATCCTGGAATATATCACTATGCACTTCATATTAGTTCATTTCAATCCTTTTTTTTTATTCTAGATGCTAATATCATCAAATTACAGGTGCGATATCCTGATACTCTATTGAAAATACTACTGACTTTATGCCATACGCAGATTTTATTAGCATATCTCATCAGAACATTAATGAAACTTTTAGATGAGCCTGAAGATCAATAATGAGAAAATCCACTAGTAAATTTCTTCCATTTTCTTTTCTATTACTATAACCGTTTACTGTCTTCCTTCCAGCTAATTCCTTAACCATCTTATATTTCTTCTATTAATCCCTATTCTTTGCTGTTGAACAAATAATTTCCCCTGTGGCACGATTTCAAGTACTGTACTGAATTACAGGTATTTTAAATATTCTTCATATCCTTTGTGTTAATAATCTGTTCTTTTATAAAGGAAAGGTATCAGGTTAGTCAGTCACATTTCTGCATTGTAAGATGAATAGGGCTGTAGTTGCCTAGAACTCTGTTTTCATTTTCTTAAACCCTTGATTTCAGCTCTTTGTGTTGTGCTTCAGTGGTAATTTCAGTTTTGATACCTTAGTACCCATTAGTCAGCTTGCTTTTGCCTTGCCCCCACATTCATTGTGTGGGATGAGAAAAAACTAGTAAATTGAATAGACGTGGGGGTTCTGGCTCAGAAGACAATGAAAATAGAGTTAGATGGCTAAGGAAGAGCACTGAAGAGGAATAAGAACTATGATTTTTGACATTCAAAGTACTGAGTCTCATTAAGCCTTGTGCAGCATTGCCACAGGTGGTATTAATTAGGTTTGGCAGCCTGCACTGCTCCCCTTTCCTGTCATGATTTCTACTGTTGCTGTGATTCCTGTCGGATTTTTAGAATCATAGAATCATAGAAGCATAGAATCATTAAGGTTGGAAGAGACCTCCAAGATCATCGAGTCCAACCGTCAACCCAACACCACCATGCCCACTAAATCGTGTCCCTAAGCACCACATCTACACGTCTTTTAAATACTTCCAGGGATGGTGACTCAACCACTTCCCTGGGCAGCCTGGTCCAATGTT